AACTACCAATCTATAAAATTAAAATGAGAGAATAATGAAACATTCAACTATAAATTGAAAATTACACATGCCCATACCTGTGTATGATGATATTTTTCACTCCTATCTTGTTGAGTCATAGTAATGTTAATCACTGTCCCATTGGCAATGTTATATGAGATAGAGACATGCTCATTGAAGCACTCATAGTATGAACAAGAATTTTGAGAACAGCTTTGACATTCATGTGTGATAACCGTATAGTCGAGTAACAGACAAGTAGTGTTGGAATACAAATTACGTGAGTTTCGTTCCTTCACGTAATTCGACGCTGCGATCGAGCTCTAGATGAGAAATGAAATAAAAACTATGCTACAAAGTAAACTCTAGACGCAAGAAGGCCATTGATCTCTGAAATTGCAACATGATAGACGTATTAAAAATGCCTTATTAAGCTGTACACAAAAGAATGTGTTCCGATTAGATATCTATTCATCAATTCAGTGGAGTTTTCTTGGGTGATTATTTGATGAAAGGACATCAGGGGTTGCGTCACACTTCATTAATCTACGAACATGCATGGTATACAATGTAACAATAAATAAAAGACACCTTAACTATGTTTTTTTTTTCTTAGACGAATCATAATAATACAGCACAAAGGGTTAGGAATGATGGTGCAATACTCACAAAGAGAATTTAAGAATTTTGTATTATAAATACATTTCTCATTATATCTAAATAATTCTTAGCATACTATTGTAAAACAATAATAATTCTATTACGGATACTGTTCATTACAGATGAATTATGTCAAAATTTTGATTTCCTAAAAAAATTGTCATTCATTGAATCGTAATGATCATTGAATTAATCATTAGTTAAATAATTAACTAATTATTAATAATATATTATGCAAAATAAAAGAAAATGATATTAATTATGATGAAAATTTATTAGAATATTTATGAATCACTTATTTATAGTTATTACCATCAATAGCATAGCATAAATTATTATTAGTTATGAATTATATTATTAAAAACAATTCATTTATTGAATATTTTAAACAATAAAATCTATCTTCAACAAGTATAGAATTTCTCGATGAAAAATTAATAAATGAATATTTTATTAAATCAATTCAAGAATTTAAATCAACAAATTTAATATATATATCAAATTAATTATTAATTTATCAAGACATTTGATTATTTAACAACAATAACTAAATATTCAGATATGATTTTCACAAACAATAATTGCATTAAATATATAGAAAATTTTTACTCAATCTATTCATATAGAATTCGCACATTGACACAGAATTGTATCGAAACTCAGCTTGAAAAAGCAATATTGATGAGAAAAAAAAAATTTTTTTGTTATAAAATTATAACGCTTACATTAAATACGAAGTTCTGTAAGCGATAATTCTTTGCAAAATGAATATTCATAGCAAACTTATCTTTCAAATATAATAATATAATTGTTACATATAATGAAGCGCACAAGTGTACTGAGATAATTGAATTCTACTTGTAATGAATTCTGTCATTGCTATAAACCCTCACAAATATATATATGTACACGTGACTCAACACAAAGTTTTATAAATCCAAACAAACATACAACAAGTCATATAAATTCATTTTATTTCATATGATCTTCTTCTCAATCAAGGGAAAAGCTAGTGTAAGATTGACAATTATTCAAATTTCGAATAGAAAAAAAGTTGAAGACATAGATATAAGAAAAGGAAAATAGTCTCTTAGGAATCTTCTCATACATCGGAACTCTTCATGAATGCTGGTCCGGTATCATTCAGAATTTGTATTCGAAAACAGATACTTTTGCCAAATTCCACAAATCTTGATACACATGAACAATGGCAGTTCTCGTGGGGTTTCCTGACAAATGAGATGGCGACAATAATCAACAGCAAAAGAAGGAGAAAACCAGCGATTCCAAAACTTATCCACAATGCTATAAGATAAGATTTTCCACTAGGTAGATCCCAGACAACAGAAGTGACGTGAGCTAATCGATAGAAACACAAGTAACGACTACCGATCTATAAAAATGAAAAGATTATTTCAGTAACACAAAAAAACAAACCAAGAGTTCATACATTTGTTTGCTCATGTATTGTGCTTTTGTCGTAACTTGTAAAATCGCTAGTTATAATCGTCCCATCCGAAATAGGATAGGATATAGTAAAATGTTCACTAAAGCATTCGTTATATGAACAAGAATACATATAACATGCATTTCTGCAGAAATGCTTCTGGATTAATGTGTAGTTGAGTAGAAGACAAGTTGTTTTTGTAAAAAGAGCACGTGATTGTCGTTCTTCCATGTAATTAGCAGTTACGATTAAGCCTGCTATGATGCATATGATAGTTGATACGATTAGAAATGCGCCACATCCAAGTATTTGGTTCATTTTGTTAAAAGCAGCAGAAAATTGGCAGTCTAAATCTCACTTTCGATGTGTATGATCTGTAATTACTAACACTAGCTTATAACCATTTCTTGACGTGATCGATTGGAAATTATCCTCACGAGTGTATGTATTGTTTATCGAAAAATGACGTGTAATTATGTCACGCTTCAATTCAATCTGAATATTATAGAAGAGAACGTAAGAGAAAAAAACAATATCTTATAGTGAAATTACTACAATCGTGTCTCAGTGGCCTAAATTCGTCTACAAAAAGGCTTTGACATAGAATTAGATCTAGGTAAGTGCACCATAGTGTTTTTTCCCTTTCAAGTGTTCGTTCCTAGTCTACAGTCACTACGTGATGAGTCAACCATTCTTTGGCAGATTAGCATAATGACGATGTACTTTATCATGTGTGTCTGCTACACTGTTTCAAGGGTTCTTCTTTTGAGAAAACATAAAGTAAGTTTGTTTTTTTTTCGTAGTAAAATCGTCCAGATACTTTGAACAAGTCCTATTTTATCAAAATGCTACTATTCATCTAAATGATGCAAAAGTATATTTGGTTTCACATGAATTCAACTGATTCTCCATACTTGTCAACTCGAGAGAGATTAATAACATCATTTCATTGTATGAATTGACATCGTTCGAGAGTGATATCCATTATCACTTCGAAAAATGAAATACCATATTTCATTGATTAAGTGATAAGTTGCTCAGCAGTGTATGTTATGGATCACAGCTTTGATATTCAAAACACAACTTTCAGATGCTTTGATGATCAGAAACGATACAGTCGAACCTATTATCAAAGATGTACGGTTAAGCTAGGCAAAGATGCGAGATCATCGATAATACGTATTTCATGACAAAACAATTTGAATTATCGTTACATGAGTTCAGATGCTAAATTCTGAAACTAGTTCAATATGAAACGATATCAACGCCTATTGATCACATTTATTGAAAAGATGTAGATATTAATCTTCTCTTCACTCACATACACATCTACCAACCACATATACCTCCACATTTCGGTATTTACTGATCAGAACGATAGTTGATACTCAGCAAGCACTATTTACATGCACAATCTGTTCGAACATAATTATGGTTTCTTCCTACTACTTTTATCTGTGAATTATATCATTCTTATGGAATATTTCAAACGAAAAAGAATCTTATCGTACCAACAGATTGATGACACCTAAATTCTTCGAGCACTCACAAATGCTGAATAAATCAGAACATAGATAGTGTAGTTTCGTTTATCAATTGTGATTCATAACGTGTTCTATTCGTCATTAGATTAGATGTGATTATGCATCATCATTTTTAAATGAATCTTCTAAACTCACTCAGAAACTTTTATCAGTGATTTTTCCATTTGCGCACAAGAAAAACAAATATTCTTACTTCTTCAGATGACGATTGAAAATCATATCCTTTTACCCTACTTATATGTTACAAAAAAAACCATTTTTCTTATAATTACATACAACCAGTACAGCAATTAATCAGCTGCCTCGTTAAGTTCTCTTATCATGATAATCAGGTAGGATATACGACACCCGCACCTACTTCCTCGATTAAATAAAATCTTGTTTGATAGTCTAATTGTTACAAAAGCATTTTATCAAATCAAAATTTGAAAATGATCAAAGCAAGAAACCGAAATGTTCGTTTGTTGTCAGTAAAACAAAAAAAAAAGATTGTTATTGATATAATGCTGCATTTTCTCATACTATTATTATCTATTGTTAATTATTAATGCAATCAATAGACTTTCTTGAAAAATTCTCATCTTCTTATGCTATAATTTACTTCCTATTTGAACGATATTTAATAATAGTAATAATACAGAACATTTTCACAAGCATTCGTTTATTTGAAGAATTTCGTTCATCCTTAATTCATGTATAATATGTATCATTGAGACAATAATGTCATAGAAAAAAAAACTTTATCAAAATGTAAATCTCATTTCTATACATCTGTTTGGAAAAAACCCATGACTATATATATGTGTTGACGTCAACAACGGAAAAATCCATGCGAATAAACACGTGATAGATGAGAAATGAAAATAAATAACAAGACAATATCCTATAGTGTCAACGATATGAAAGAAAAACATCATGACATGTAACAAACAGAATTTATCAAAAAAAAACAAATATGAGAGAAAAAAGAGGACAAGTATCGATTTGATTTCGTGTCTAGGAACAACCTTCCCGAAAGTTGGTCATTCCATGGTCCAAGTATGCTTCAGGCTCAAACGGAATAAGACCCGAAATCGCGGCTTGTCCGATTTTACTACATCTACAAACATATACTTAAGTTGTTCGAGCATAGAAATGGTGCAATTCTTTTTCTTTCCTTTTCTTCACCGACATATGAATGGAGTACACCTTAGTATTGCATCATTTTCATTATTTCGTTGATAACATAGGAAGTATTCTATTGCTCATACTCTTAGTCATATTTTTACACTACTATTGTGTAAGTTGTTCGGTTTGAAAAAGTATTTAAACAAAAACACATATTACAAAAGTTACATTTCTTAGATACAATGTCTTCGAAGCATCAGTCTCCTCTATCAACACAAATAACAACACAATCATTGGTTTTCTCACATATTCCATCCGATGAAGACGAAAAAAAATTATTACAAACTTTGAAAGAAAAATATATTGGTGTTAAAAACGTCTCTCGACTTGATTTTCAAGATAACAATGGAAACTTAATAGATGCAATTAGAATTGATTTAAAATCGGTTGATTTTGCTCAACAATTTCTCAAATATGATTATATTCTCTTTGGTAAGCAACAATATTCGATTCAATCATCAACACGTTCGTTAATTGCTTTACAAGTTCCAAAGAATCAAAAATGTACAGAATTATTACAAGACTTGAGACATAATTATTTAGGTATCGAAAATATTTTTCGATTTCATGATAAAGATAACAAACCAGTTGATATTATTCGATTGGATTTTAAATCTGATTCTTTAATGACAAAAATCCTCAATGATAAATATATTCTTATTGATGGTCAACGGCGTCCTATTCAACCTTATTGGTCATTAATCAATCATTCAAATCAAAATGAACAATCTCCTGCTTCTGAAACTATCCAAAATACTTCAAACAAACAACCTCGAAATTCTTCGATTAAACAAACTCAAAATGTCTTGACTGAAGAACGGGTCAAGGAATTAATTGATATACAAGAAATGTAAGTTCAATGAAATAAAATTTCGGTGATATATTTCTCTTTTCTTTTTAATTCCGTATAATTAGGGAACTTCAAACAATGATAAATGCCTTTGAAAAGAAATGGAATGCACGTTTATCATCATTAAAAACTTCTTCAAAAAATACTGATGTTGATCAATTATTATCAATCTTTAAAGATCTTACAACAGTTTGTCAACAATTTAATCAACAAAATAATCAAATACAAAAACGACTTGGTACCATGGCTAATCGAGTAGAAAATATAAGAAGGCAAGCGGACCATGATGAAGCTTGGCCAAATTTATCGTCACAAAATGGACATTAAACAAGAAATTATAATGAATAAAATGTATTATTTGAAAGAAAAATCTAGTCAAAGTTTTCCTGAATCATATTATTAAAGGACTTTTTTTTTCAGTCGAGAATTTTTTTTTATTTTTGAAAGATCTTTAAATATTATTATATTCTTCTATAATATATTTTTTCACGAAGTATTTTATATATCTATACCGAAATTTAAGATACATTCAATCGAAATGATAAATAAACACATTGTAGAAATGATTTTCTTGTAAATAGAATTATTCTAAGCAAAAATTTGAAAATATCAAAACATTTTAATGAATGTTTTTTTTTCCTAACAAAAAATAAACATTATCTTACAAAACATAAAATATTTACTATCGAAATAAAAATTTGCATTTATGATTGATTAATCATTGCTAATATATAAACAAGACTTATTTCATTCACTTTACTTTTAAGATAATTGATTAAGTTTTATATTGTTCGATGTAATAAATATAGTGTTACATTTTTGTAGTACTAAAAACATTTCTATGTAAATAAAATTTGTATTCAAAATGAATACTATATAAGATTTTAAGAAAATGAATTGATTACTCAAATGAGACGAGAAATTTTAGTCGAACTTGTATATGTTTGAACCATCTATTGATATCTAAAATTGCCAGAGTTTGAAATTTCTCGTTGAAATTTTCAATAACTAACAAAATCTTTACAGTCGATATAATTTACCATGATTTGTTGATAATCATGATGTGATACTTTTACTACATGTTGTTTTTTATTATGTTCTTTTATGTATTAGGAATATTAATTTTTGTACAATGAATAAAGTTTATTGTAGAAGTAAAATTTGTTATCGATCAATAGGGATAATTATGGTTGTCAGTAGAAAGTTTTTCGATATGTCAAAACAATATTCTAATTGCCATCATTCTCATTCATCGGGAGATTGGACTAGTTTGCTGCCTATTACTAATTATCAGACGTTGTCATTATGGAATATTTGAATTGAAAACTTATCAATAACTGATTTTTAAGAGCATGAATAAACAGATGTACGAAGAAAATTTGAAAAGAGATTCTAAATTAATTGCACGTTCGAAATCAATTTTTGCACAAATTGATCTCCGATCACAAATGATTTTAAATAATAATAGTACACCCATCGAACTACTTAGATATAATACTAAATTACAAATATTCTGATATATAAACTATTTGGTTTTTAATAAAAATGTATTTACTAGAATCAAACTATTGTCACCATCTCTACATTCTTATCGACTCTGATGCGTATTGAACAGTTTTCTATTACTAACATAAAACAATTTCCATGCGTATTTAATTCAAAGAAATTAAGAAAAATATCAATGTTCTATCTAGCATCGCTACTAAAGCCTATTGGGTTCAAAATTTTCGAACCCGATGGATTCTAGTGGAAGCGCTATTCTCAAGGTCCGATTGGCCCTCTCGGATTTTGTGGGTTTTTTTTGTACAATGTGTCTATGCTCCTAAAAATAGATGTTCGCGTTCGTGAAGTTTTAATTTACATATTTACACATCGAAAATAAAATCTAATTCAATTCTTCTTTTAAAATAACTAATTCATTAGTGAAAAAAACCAAAGAAAGAAGATGAGTGATTAATAATCTTTATTGCAGAGGACATGGGACCGGTAACAAAAATAGAGAATAAACGCAAAAGAAGGGGAAAAAAGAAGAGAGCAATTATTAGCAAAAAAAAAAAACAACAACAAAAAGAAAGTACAATTATAAAAGAAAATGAATACAACTCGCGAGTGATTCTGATCTGTTATTTTAATTTGTTTATTAAAATCATCTGACAACACCGTAATATTGACACAAAAAGAAAAAAAAAACAAAACATTTTTTTTATACGATACTTTCTGAACCCATATAAGTCTGTTCATCTGCAGTGATTGGTGGTGGTGGCGGTGGAATTAAACGTGGAGATATATGTTGTCTTAATGTTCCTGTTGAACACTGTGATAAATGATGATGATGGCAACATACAGGCATTAAAACGGCTGAAGTTGATGATGTTGTTTCATAAGACTGTTTTGTAGAGCCCGGTGCATGATAAAAAATATTTGTTCGTGGAAGAAATGGACGTATTGTATGTGAATTTGATTGAATAACAGGCTTAAAAGCGCTATGTGCAGTACATATATTATAATTTGTACTTTCTGATGGTATTGTTTCATAAAAATGATAATCAACTGGATCACTATTACTATGTATAGCAGCATGTGGATTACGAAAACATAATGCTGTAGCAGGAGCATTTGAACGTGTTATAAATGATTGTGATGAATTTGTTGGATGTGATGGAGAACATAACTGAAGAAGATTAACATTAGCTGCTGCTACTGCAGCTGTTGTTGTTGTTGATGTATCATTTGATTTTGATTGTGAATGTTTAGAAGTTGATGATGATGTTGATGTTGATGATATTGTATTTGTTTGTTCATGATATAAATGTTGCATAAGACTACGTTGTAATTCTTCATGTGTAAATGATGATTGAGATTCAATTGGTGTTTTACATTTTAATGATTTTTGTGTACGTCTATAAAGACAAGACAAAATAAAAGTTGAAAACGTATTTTGATATACAAAAAAAAATTTTTTCTTTTGTCTATACCTTTTACATATATAACAAACAATAATATTTATAGAAAAAATAGCTAATGCTATACCACCTAATATAGCTGCAAGAATATCTAAAAATTACAAAAAAAAAAAATTTAATTAATAAAAAACAAATTCTTAAATATATGATCTACTTGGATCAATTGAATTTGTTTTTGTTTCATTTTGTTCTGGTGTAATTGATGGAACAAAATCATGTGGTTTATAAATTGGTGATGGAATTTCTTCATGTACAATAGGAGGTTGAATAAACGAAACAGTTGGACGTCGTGTACTAGTGATAATTGTTGTTGTTGGTGGTGGCGGTGTTGTTGTTGTAATGATAGTAGAAGATAATGGTGCTTGAGCATTACCACAACGAACAGTAAGTGGTATAGATTGTCGATTAATATCTCGTTCACATATAAATGCATGTTGTTCATCACAAGGTATTTTAATCCAACCATCTTGTATACGTAAAACACATTTGCCTTCATTTAATGATAATCGCCATGGCCACCATGAATGAACTAAAATAAATAAAAATTTTCTATATTTACTGTTTTTATTTATTTCTTACTATTATAATTTTGTTTTTCATCAGATATCCAAAATGATGTTTGTTGTTGTTGTTCATAATTTGTTAAAAGAAAATATGTTAATTTTTTTTCTTGAACAATATCATTTAAATGTATTAAATGTGAACCAATTGATAAACATTTTTCTTGTGCATTATTCCATGTTTGTTTTTGTTGAAAGATTTTTATACATTTCGAACCAAGTGTATATTCATCATTATTACATTGATGATAACCTTAATTAGAAAAATAACAGAAAAAAAAGAATGAAAATTAAGAAATTTTAATTTAATATAAAATACCATGTAAACGAATCCAAAATCCTGATTGACTTAATGTTTCATCAGTTGTAAATGTAAGACGAAGTGAATTTTTTTCATTGAATAGAGAAGCACCAAATGGAATTGTGCCTGATAAAGATAATGATTTCGATGATGATAAATAATCATTATCTTGTAAATTAAACGAAAGACTCTAAATAAACAAAATAAGATGAATAAAAACATCAAGATATACATTCTTAGATTCTAAACTCGATAAAATATACTCAAATTTTTTTTATAAATAAATTCTATTAACAAAAAAAATCACTATACAATCTTTTTAATTATACCTCAACATCAATATGGATTGGTAATGATTGTTTATATAATTCTACTGGTTCAATTCTACATGTACAATTAACATTATTTGGATATTCATTAGGAAATAATGGACTAATAAGATTAAGACCATTTGATGATATCATACTATGTTTTGAGCATACATCAACAATAGTTGAATCTAAATAATATTTATTTTATTACTAAAATTACTCATCAAAAAAAATTTTTTTTTTCCATTGCCATAAGCGTTAGAAATAGAGAAAATAGTTTCCAACAAAATTTGTATAGGATAATTTACCCTATCAAAATTCTAAGTGTAGAAAAACTAGGATTTTGCATTTTCTGGAGTTCTTGTCTTTGTGAATCTGATAATGATTTTTATTTTGTTGAAAATTATTTTCTCTATTTGAATTACAACAGTGAAAAATTAAATCTTGTTGTTTTTCTTTTAATACTTACTATTAATACATTGATAAGATATAAATAAATAAGTAGCTTCATCGGAACATTTATGAATAAATTGTTGTGTGAGAATAACTTCACATTTTGATACACCATTACAAAGTTCAGCTATTTTATGTGTATAATCCATAATACAATCACTTTCAGACGGTTCACACCTAAAAAATTGTTAATCGTATTAACAATATTTAATAAACGAAAAAAAGAAGAAAAACAATATTTAAGTAAAATAATACCGTTGTTGTTGTTCGGATTTTATTAATGAGCGTATTCCCGTAGGTTTTTTTGTACCATAATGTGACCAACCAATTAGAATAAATTCATTAGAATTACAATTAATATCCATATGATTAGCAAATTCTTTTTGAGTACATTGAGATTTTGAATGCCATTCATCAGATAACGATGAATATGATAATAATGGTAAAACTAGAAAAAAAAATGTATATATAAGATCGAATTGATAATCTATAATAAAATACATACCGATAAGAATAAATAAAAAGAACATTGTCAAAAAATGGTGAGATTCTATGTACAAAAATTTGTCATTAATATATATATGTTATCGTTGTTGTTGTCATTCGATAAACAAGAAGGACATCTTCTCAAAAGATCTACAACATAAACAGAGATGATAGTAATACACTCGCACACAGATCTATATATATATATATGCGTGTATATATGTGTTTGACCTTAGAGCGGGAATGCCGATGCCGCTTATACTCTTCTTCTATCTTCTTTTTTTTGACACATGTCAAAGAGAGAAGTGCAATGGCATTCAATTGATCGAATTTATGCGATGTCAATATTAGACTATCTTTGTTGCGGTATAATACAAATATAAGAAAAAAAAATAATAAATGAATGAATTGATCATTTCTCTAATATATATATATATATCTATATTGTCGTCACACGTGGGTGCGACTTATATTTGTTTATGTGTTCATACTCGTCTTCTATTCGGTGTTAATTTATGGTAATAGGTCATCGTTCAGCAATCAGACATACACAATATTGTCCTATATGCAAATCAATATCAGGTGTACGACGATGACATGCCGTGCATTCAGAAGATTCTATAGAGAACAATAAACAACATGCTGTTGAAATTGAACAGATAAGTAAGAAGAACAAAAAAATAAAACAAAGCTCATTCTGTGCACGACTGTTCTAACAGAAATAAACATCATAATGAGAATAGTCGTCTATGAATAAAGCAGATAACAGTAAAAAAAACAAAAAAAAGAAAAAGAAATGAGTGGGCAAAAGGGATTCATTTTTAATTAGCATTCCATCGACCGATGACCGACTGCCTACAGGTAGGCTTTATTAAATAGAAGAATAGGTAGCGAGAAAAGAAAAAAAAAAGAATGTGATCTATGCGCAACGACATGCCTTACGGCTAGGGTTATGTATACATACTGTGCTTAGTGGCCCGTATGGTAAATTGAACGTGTATATGTGGCATCGTCAACACATGTTCATCTTTCTTTTGTAACAATTCATGTTGATCCATGTCTTGAATAAAACTGTCAAAGAAGAAAAGAAAAACGATGTTCACGCTTCAACTAACGTATCAAGCGTCTCTTCATTTTCCTTTTTTTCTTTTTTTTTTTCATTCTCATATAACTATTACTGATGGCGGCGACTAACCACCATCATCATAATGACCATTTAATATGTCATGGGGGCATGTCGATGTTCAAATACAACAGTACACAAAAAAAAACCAAGTGTCAATATACAATATATGACGCAAGTGCGATTTTGATCAACACTTCGTCTTTATTGATGACGTGACACTATGCCTCAATTTATCATGTGTTTATATCTATATATATATATTTTATTGAAAGAAACGGCATTCTATATCTCGATCTAGCTTAAGAAAAAAATAACATACGTTTGTAAACTTCATCTTATTCTGTTTCAAATATATGACGCAAGTGAAAGTCAATTTAATTTCGACTTTACTAGTCAGTACTATTACTACTCATATTTCACGATGTCTACACTTGAAAAAAAAAGAATTTACTAGTAATCAATTCGAATATGAATAGGACAAGTACTTGTCGTAGTCGTTGTCGCATGACAAGTATAATGTTCAAGTTCAGACAGACAGACAGGCAGACACAAAGAAAGGGAATGAACAGCTAATTGTAAATGCATACTTCAACAACCAACTAACAGCAAGAAAAAAAAACTGTCGTGTCCTAGCGTAATATATATATATATGTAGAGAGAAACATAAATGAAATGATGACACATAGCATAAACGAATGCTAAATCACAATTATGTCAAGTCACACAACAGATTTCCTTCCGTCTCAACCGGCACGAATACAAAAAAAAAAAGAAAGAAACTGGTTCAGTTACATCTATCGCCGCGTTGAGCCGAGAAATATGAACTATTTGAATAATTATGACAAGAGAGTGCAAGCAAACAAAAAAAAAAGAACTGGTCAGCACCACTAGACGTGTTGAATGTAATTCTCTAGATGACTATTGACCATTCATGAACAAAAAAAAAAGAGAAAAATCATCATTCTTATAATGTGCGAGTACACTCGTTGATGTTCATGCATCACTTGGGATAATCAGACAAGAGAACAAAAAAAAAAGCAAAGTTTAATTTAGTTTTTTCTCATTAAATATAATCCTTCAATTTACTTTACGCGTTTTTTGACACAATCATCTTATCAGTTTCTTTTTTTTTCACTTTAGTTAACATCTAGGGATTCACTCACTCATCTCAAGAAGAAAAGAAGGAACTTACTTTTTCTTTTTTTTAGTAAACATGTACATATCATATTGCATAATCCACACACATCCTTGCTGTTCTATATCTCTATATCAAACTGACTTTTCTAGGGTATCCTTGTATTCATTGTTTTCACACGGATCATACTCGGTCGAGCGTCGTTTTTTTTTCCTCTCTCCTTCGATCATCTCGGCGAGTACCTTAAACTGTTCAAACATACTCGATGTCTTATTTACTTTTCTCTCCTTCTCTTGCTATGTCGAAATTAAATGTACAAGTGCTGCCGCCATCGACGACTTTATTCAATACGAAAGATTATCGTACCCTATATGATCATTATCGAAAGGCAAAATAAGAGAGACGCTGTATCAAATATTGACATATACTCGATATATATATGAATACAGAAGCTAATTGTCAACTTTCTCTGTCTCTCACTCAAAAAAGAAAAATCTAATGATTTCACATAGCCTTGAGCTATTTCGAATACTCGAACTCATTCTCTCTGATCACTACATTGAATGCAAGCCGATGATACTTTGCAGATTCTTCCATCTACATATAGATGTGTATGTTCAGTTACATGTATATCATGAATGATCAAACAGTAGTTACCACTTGACCTTCTTTCATTTGATTTTGTTTAAAAAGATAAAACTAGACTCTTGAAACAAAACAAAACAAAAACACACCACTATGTCATTCCATTCGAATTTAATTCTTTTCTTTTTATTTCTATAGTCTAGATGAATGTCCAGTTGTCAAACTTATTTCATAAGTGAATGACATAAGAAGAGAGAGAGAGAAAAAGAAGCCATAATCTTCTCAATAATAATGAAGATGATGTTATAACAAAATAAGAAAGAATCATATGGCATGCGACAGTACAAAATGAAACCATCTTACGTCAATATAAAAATGAAGATCGAATCTTTATATTCATATTGATTGAAAGAATATGTTGTTAGATGTATCTTTAATGTCTTATCAAGAATGATTAGTTCTATCTGGTAAAATGACATTTTTATGAGTCTATAAATCTCGTTTTCTATCATATCTATATATGGACACATCTTTCTATATATATATATATATATGTTTGTTGTTGTCCGCCTCATAAACCATAACTGTCGAATAAAATAAATGATCCAATGTATATCAATAGATATGTACACAAATAAGACAACAAACTTTAGCATATATGAATATATACTTTGTCTATATTCTAGAACATGAGAATAATAACAAGAGAAAACTGTCAGTAGTATCTTGACCAAATTAAATCATATTAATCATTGAAAAATAATAATGATTATATCATAGATTCATTTAATACTTATTTTTAATAGTTCGAAATAATGAAAGCATTCTATTTAAAATACCAGAATGTCCCCTGTGAATCACACGCATGCATTCAGACTACATCATCAGTTTGAAAAATATGAACTAGTCTACGTGTTTGCGTGACCTTTTTTATTCTCTCTATAATCTTTATGATAGAAGTACGCAACAGGAGACATGATAACGGAAATGATGCTCTTTAGTGGATAGAATAGACAAAAGGATCTTTCTTCTTAATAGATAGAATAATCATGAATAGAATGCAGATGGTTAGATATATGTGTCTGTATATATATGTATCAAATCAACTTTCACCTGCTTTTATTTTTGTTTATATTTAACACATATGATTCATTTTCTTTGAGTAAATCCGGAAATTCTCTATGATTCTTTTTTATCAAAAAAAAAAAAAAAAAAAGGAAAACAAAGAAATCTAGATTGATTGACGATGTAATCAAGCATAAAGGAAGTCAGTTGTACCGTAAACAAAGTTTCACACATATGTTCGAATTCCAACTGTTAGTACTCACTCAAATAGTTTAAACAAAAAGAAAAAAAAAGAAACATGTGAAATGTGTGCGTGTCATCGATAAATGTTTAGATGCTGATCATCATCAACAACATCATCGATGTCGACATGCAAAGAAGAAAAATGATGGTAGAGTGCCATCGTTAACCTCCAGCTGTTGAATTTAGTATTCGTGCATATATATATAAATATATATATATGTATAGAAGAAAAAAAAAACGTACACGAAATGACAATAGTCATGACAGCACTTCTATGCATATACACACCCACCTAGATCATTGATCACTCACTTTTCAATTATGAGAATCGACTTAGACATATTTCTTTTCAAGATGTCCATCGTCAATAATCATATGAAAGTTTGTTGCCATTGACAGACGGGCGTGGTCAAATGCATATAGAAAATAAATTAATCGTTTTCAACTGTTAACATTCATTGATCGGCTCATTTCGCAGATGGATCTCTAATGATCCAGTCAGTGAACTAACTGAAAATACACGCAAACGAAGTCTGATTAGCACCAGCTGCTCAAGGGACATATTCTTCTTTTCTTATAATAGTTCTTGTGTATATGTATTCGACCAAATGTGATTTACGAGTCCAAACAACGTTATACATACATATTAAGATAAAAAGATTCATTGTCTGACTGTCTGGCAATCATCATCGACACACACGGAAAAAAAATATAAGAAAATGTACATACGATCTCATCATCTTCCGGGACAGATACAGAAAAAAAAAAGATCTAACACTATCCTAATCAACATCTAAATTATTTCTTTGTACAAAAGCTGATGTTTTGCTTATAGGCATCATTAGATGCCACTCTATGTATACATATGTATTCCTCTTACCTTCTTCCAT